TTCAAGCATGTACTAGGTATAAGCAAATTGAAAATATGTTTGTGGATATGTCTGGAATTGTGTGTGATTACATACTGACTGTTGTTACATGTTTGAAAGAATAAATAAATAAATAAATCTGTGTATCCATAAGGGCAGGCTATGTTTTCAGACAATGCAAGGAAATAAAAATGGAGTACTATCATTTGTCAAACTAGTAAGATGAGGAGCACCTAAACATCAACCAAAAGGAAACACAGGACAATCAGATGAAACATTTTTAATCAGAAAAAACAGGTGCAATACATCACATGTAAACAATTGCAGCATCTCATTCTTAATACCTGAATAGTTACTTATAAATAACATTTTAGAGACTTGAGAATTCCTGTAAAAATATATTAGTTTGACAAAAGAACTAAATCCCCTTAAAAAACTCATTATTTTAAGTACTTGTAGGCTGGTCTGCAGATCAGCAGGCACCCATCTTCAGGTCAAAATAAGTTCTTTGTCTTTGTTAGTAGCCCTCTCTCCCTGCAGCCAGTCTGCTTTACTAACCTGTAGCCAATCACTCACCTGCTGCTGTACACGGATTTAAAGGATGATAGGGCAGCAGGTAAGTGAACACAGTAAATTCTCAAACATATATATTTACCTCGGCGGCTGGGGGACCGGGCCTTTATTTATTATATTCCCTGTTGCCCAGTGAATTTAACCTCCAAAGCTCCTCCATGCTTGGCTGTTGTCTTGATACAGTCACGATAACATGCATTTCGACATCGCTGATTCCATCAGTACAGTAAGAATCACGTCAGCCGATCCAGTTTGCCTTTTACCCAAACAATGTTTTTACACTACCATAAATTAAACTGTTTATTTTACAGGTCTGCTATTTCTGAATAATTCTTGAATGTTTCCAGAAATTTAAATATGTACTTTGTCAATAATTGCAAACAGATAAAGTTCTGAGACTGATCTTGGTTAGCGCAGTTAGTTGTGTTGAGCTTATTACAGACTTCCAGGATTTACTGGGAAAGAAACTGCACAGTTTAAACTGTGAATATTTATTACTCATTAATTTATTGTTGGAAACCTTTTCTTCATTTATCCAGAAGTTTGTCTGTAGATATATTTCATACTTTGTTGTTGTGCTAGCTTAGCATGTGGCATAACGCCATGTATCAACTGATCTCTCTCTACCAATTTTATGGTTCTTTTTGGCAAACTTCTTAAAAGATTTGCCAATAAACGAATTTATAGACCCAGAAAATAAAGTATTACCCTCTAATCTTTGACCAGAATTTCATAACAAATCTATTGCAGCTGTTCTTTCATAGGTAGGCTTTTAATGTGAAAAAACATCAGGAAGTGTTGACTGTAGTTTAACATTAATCAGGAGTACGGCAAAGATGAACGACTGGCATAATGACACCATTAAATTATGACTCTCTTCTTGTACTGATGGAATTAGTGTTGTGGAAATGTACATTTAACTGAATTTACCATGTGAGCTGGTGTAGCGCTGAAGGCTAGAGGTAATCTCATGTGCCTCCACGTTTTTATTTACCCACCATTCATTAGTAACTACCATGGATCGGGTTGCATATTTCTGTCTGAACCCAACAATGTTATCTCCTATAATGTCTGAACGCTACGAGTTTGTACGGTGCTTTCCCCCTTTCTTATTAAACAAAGCAAACATTTGAGTGCTCCAGCCGTCCAGCCCAAGGCTTGACCGATGTCTCCAAACCCAGCCTGAACATAATTTCTAAATTTCTGACTGAACACGGCCTGAGCCGAACGAGCTCGGTTCTGGTATCCAACTGGCTTTTATTTGAAAACCAGCTCTAATATGAGAATTTACAGCAACTCAGGGAAGGTAGAGAACTTGGCTGCAGGGTCTGTGCAGTAAGTTTATCTCAGGTTGCATCTTTCAACAAAGTGTTTGCATGCGCAGCATCAGAGCTGAGTAGTTGATCAGTTGGCACTGAATTCCCAAACTATCGTGTTCTTCAGAGTAGATAAGCCCACATTCGTCACAGCACTTCAGAGTCAGTCTTTGCCCTCGCTACTCATCCGCCTTATTTGTCCTCTCCCTTCTGTGCTGACTCAGCAGCAGTCTCAACTTTTCTTCTGACAGATCACAACTGTTGTTTCATCCTCATTTTTTCTCATGACAAAGCTTGTTAGGCTGCTACCCTTTGGATTTTATACAATCTCCTTGTTTCACCTTCATTTTACTCAAAGGTCTGTTTCTCAGGTCCTAATCACAGCTTTGTTTCTCGTCTGTTATCCTTTTTCTTCAGACCCTTTCTCTCATGAATCCCCACAGACTGATGGTCAGGAGGCCATATGGCTTCTTTTCTGTTCTGCCTCTTTTCTCTCCACCTCCTCTCTCTCTCTAGCCTCCGTCCTATCCTTCCGTGCTTTCAGCAAGAACCTCAGCAGCATCAGAAGGTTTTCGGAGGCGTCTGCCAGCTCCTGCAGCCGTTTCACTGCGTCCTCGAGCTGCCGGCTTTTGTCCCGGTGCTGCTCCTCTAAGCTCTGCCTCTCTTGCAGCAGCTCCGCGTTCTGGGCTTCTAAGCTGCGAGCATCAAATGTCAGTCTTCGATTGTCACGCCACAGCTGTGCCAGCTGTTGGGAGAGGCGTTCGCGTGCACGATGCAGCACTTGAACCTCATGCTGGAGTGCCAAAAACTCTGCACGGAGGACAGCGCTGGGTCCTGAACCCTCTGCAGAAGACGTCACTGCCTTGTCTGCATAATGGACAGAGCTGGAGTGCTGCAGGATGAAGCGAAGGAGGTTGGGTAACGTAATGGGCAGGTCATCAGGGAACTTCACACTGAGATGTTTTCTTAAAGAAGAACAAGAAACACAACCTCAGAGTGTAAATGAGATGAAATTCAATTATGATAATTAATGAAATACTTCTTACTTGTGTGTATTTTTATGTGCCACACAACCAATGAACACATCACTGAGGACAGTAAAGTGATTCAGACAATACCTCATAAAGCACTGAGGCTATTAGTGTTACTGTACATTATGTTCTATTGATCTGGTAGAACAGCAACTAACAATTGTTTTTATTATCAATTAATCTGCCAGTTATTTGAATGATTACTTACTTAATTTTTTGGTCTATTTATTGTCTGAAGAATTTAAAAATGCCCATCACAATGCCTGAAGGTCAAGGTGGCATCTTCAAACCAACAGAATTTAACTTTAGAGTATTTTACGAATTTTGACATAAAACAAAACAAAAAAAAAGCTGTTATCTCACGTTTGATAACTAAATACAGAGAATGTTTGCTTGAGAAATTGTCAACATAGTTTTAAATAATACCTGATTCTGTTGATGAAGTGATTATTAATTAATTAGTTTGTCAAAACAGAGTTGAGACAATTTATTATTATACCAAAGAAATGTGTAAAGTGGGGAGAAAAGCAGCATGAAAACCTCATGAGAACTAGAGAACAGATGTAAAACTAACTGCAGTGTCTGTACTCCTGCTAGGTGGTGACACGGTCAGACACAGGCTTAGCTGAGCCCTGTTTACAGAACCTACTTTTTCCTAAGTCAAAGTCAATTTTGGTGCTGAACTATCTTAGTAATTGAGTTTGTTATGCCACATAAATAAGACAGTAACTAAATCTTAAATCACAATGGATAAATAACTAGTCAGGCTAAAAGCTAACTAGCCCTGCTTAGCAGAACAACCTCTTACGATAATGGAAGTCATGATTTCATATGGTTCAAGTTCCTTTAATTGACATTTAATTCAAGAAATTAGCTCCTTAGTACAGATGAGCTAAACAAGAACCCATTTTGTTTGTAGATACTGCAGTTTTCCTGCACCCATTACACTGGCTAAATAAACAGTGTGTGACAATTTAATAATCAGGCATAATATTAATGCTCAAACTTTAAACACGCCCGACTGTTTCTGTAGTTACTCCTCATCTTTGTAAGGCACAACTATTTTTTTTTTTATATTAATGGAAAATGCTAATTTGCATCCCTATATGTATGTGTGCTTCTGTGCATCTCTCTTACCTGTATCTGGGAAAGAGAAGAATAGAGGGAACGTGGTCGACCATGAACTCCCAGGGAAGGTCATTACGTGCAACATTCACCCTACACAGAGGAAAATGTGCTTTTATAATCTGTCCCCTTTTAGAAAAGGCAGGATCAGTGAGCTAATGTTGAACTGCCACAATGCCAGTATCAACAGTACAGTCAAACATAAAAGCATACACATACTGTACCTGGCCACAGTGATGGTGCTGTTCCCCTGTAATAATCTGGCCAGCTGGATGATGACGTGGTTCAGTACAGAGCAGAATCCACACCACTGAGTGTAGTAAAACAGCAGCACATCCTAAAGAAGAAGACAAAGCTCATCAGCAAACATCAGTCACTGTAGATACAGACCTTTTGCTCCTGGTTGTGTTACACTGTGTGTTGTAAATCCATAGCATCTTCGAAACAATGAGCACGAGCTATAAAACAAACAGATTAGCCTTAAAAATAGTTAGTAGTTATATCAGGAAACCTTTCACACCACTCTCTAACCCAGTGCACCTTTAAAGTGTCATTTAAAAAAAAATAATAATAATAATAATAATTTCCTAAAACAGCTGTGCACTGTGGTTTTTAGCAAATGTTACTCAAACAGAAGTAAACAGTGCACTTGTCAGGAACTATTTTTAGTGGCGGATTCATAAGCATTTAGTCAGTATTCACAGCAGCAGAATGATGTACTGTATGTGGGACTGACTCAAAATAAACTACAGAACCCATTTTCAGTGCAGTGAAGAAACATGTCACCCTGTGGCACAGGTAACAGCTGTTAGTAGAATCATTCATTCATTGTTGGTTTTTATAGAACATCACCAGCCTGATCCTTAAACCTACATTGGCCTGTTACTAGGTAATCAGATGACCAACTGAGCTACCATCATTAGTTCCACCAGTTTTACCACCAGCCACTGATTACAGCTCCTCCTGTTGTGGCATTTGACCCGTCTCAACTAATAAGGAAACGTTGTTTGGAACAGCAAATTAAAAGGCGGACTGCTTCAACACAACTGCACAAACAAATACAGTGTGGACGTGTCATGGATTTAACTTAGGGGCCAGAGAGAGACTGAAGCAAAGGCGTCTCTCACCTTTTGAAGCTCCATGACGGAGGGCAAGAAAGACGAAGTGGTCAGTTCTGTGATGAAGCGGCGTGGAGGCGGCTGCTGATGTTCGTCTGGACGTCTGGCTTCCTCCTCACCTCCCTTCACGTCCTCCTCCCCCACCAAGTGTCTCTGCAAAAGGCTGTATGGAGCGCTGAAGTTCCTGATGAAGGCCTCTTTACACACCAACAAAACAAGATTACCATCAGGATGACCACAGTTTTCATCCAGCTGTTGTGCAGTAATGAACAGTGCTCAGATAACTTTATGTGAATACCTTTGTACTAACGAAGCGTGTTTGCATATCACAGTGGATCAAGAAGGACAACATGTTTGACTATGAAAATCACACAGAACTTTAAAGGTCACCCTGTGTCCACTTCACTGTAAATGTCTTTGTGGTGACTACTCCCTAAGCCCTGTATGCAAACAACCATCAAATTAAGCCATGTCACATGCTGATGTGAATAATATGCAAAACTATTGTTTGTCTAAGATGCATCCTCAACTTTTAATTCACTTCTGACTTTTTTTGTGAGCAGGCACTAAGCATGCCAACCACATATACTCACATTAATCAACAGGAGGCAAACAAAAAGTCAATATGTGCTTCTAAATTATAGCTGTATCCAACAACGGTGTCCAAATATTTCTTGCAGCACTAAAATATAAAGTCAACCAGGTTGAGTGTGTGGAGGGGAGAACGAAGGAAAGATGTGAACTTTTCCATCATGCTCTCCTTTTTCATTCTTCACCCAATTATTTCCATTACTTTTAATGAGTACAGCTGACTGCAGAGACTGCAGCCATCAAGAAAAACCATCACGGCACAACTGGATAAACTGGGGGTGGGGGTGATATCTTCAAATTATTGTCAAATAGTTCACTACAAACATTGAATAGCATATTAGCTTGAACTAAACATCCTTAATTAGTGGTGGTGTTACACTGAAATTTAATATCCTTCCCTTCGTGTGTCTGTAAAAGGCAAAACATTCAAAATGCCACTCAATAGAAGGTAGCCCAGTTAAAAATCATTGAAAACCACAGCCTCACTAATAAACACAATTAAATTAACCTCTCACAGTATCCATCCAAACTGAACACCAACATCTTTGTAAAGTTAGAGTTTATAACTGAGCTGTTATATTAGATTGTACTGGTGTACCTAACAGTGTCAATCTGTCCATACCTTACCCAGAGACTCTGTCAGGGTGGTTGCTGGGCTGCGGTGGAGAACATAATGAACCTCATCCTTTAGGTTCACAATAGCTGCAAACGTGCCGTCGCCACTTTGAGCACTTTGTGCACCAGCCTCCTGCTGAGAAGAAGCACTTCTGTTGCCTGTTGCTCCGAGCCTCACTGCCAGAGGCCAGTTCAGAGCAACATCTAGCACATAAAACCTGAGCGTCCTGTTGGTCTGACACCGGAGCCCTGTGATGCCATCTCCTCCCTGCTGAGCGTCAGAAGATGGAGGGATGGATGAAGGAGAAGGCGTAAGGGGAACTCTTTGCATGTCTAGCCCCTCTTTGGCTGGCAATTTATTGAGCTGAGGTTCAACTTTTCTGCAGCAGGCACTGTATTGGCTAAATGGGCTGTAGCTGTTCAGGAGGTTACTACAGCCCACTGAGGTTGCAGTTTCTATGGCCACGGGGGCAGGTAGTTGGTGGAGGCAGCAGTGTCTGAGATAAGAATGCAACACGTCTCCTCCCTGAGCTGTGGAGGGGAAAGAGCAGCGTACAGAGGAGCTGGTCAGGCTCGGTCCTGACCAGCTGAGGCACACCTCGCACACACTAGTGCTTGATTCTGGGAGAAGAACCGACTGGCAGCACAATGAGTGGGAGGTGAAGCTTTTGTCCAAGGTGGAGTGGTTATTACCGTTACAGGAATGGTAACGCACAGCAACGTCAGCAACCTGACAGACAAAAGAAAACAAAGGAGTAGTAATATTAATAATACTTGTATAGTTACTTGTGCCTTACACAGTAAATATCAAGATGTGAATATGGACATAGAAAAAATTTAAACACATTCCCCATCATCACTACTCACCTGTTGCAGTAAGGGACTGGGCTTGGATCCTAGTGGATTGTGTGGCAGGAATAGCAGCAGTGCGGGACCTTTATTCAGCTCCCGTTCCAGGAGGCGAGACTTTGTTCCTGGGGGCTGCAGCCACTGGAGGACCGTCTCATAGTGTTCGAACACCCAGCTACAGATGACCTCTGATGTGAAGTTGCGTTCTCTTCGAGGGAAAATCTGTGAAAAACAAGAAAAGCATATAGCATAATGCCAGTCCCATGTCTTGACTGTACCATAATACTAAAATTCATTCAGTAGTAAACTACCTTTTCCAGCCAGTGTTATGTGCAACCTTATGATGTCACTTACCAAAGAGGAGTTAAATCTTCTGTGTAGGTAAACAGTTTCATCTTCTCTTACTGAGATGGCTTCCGCCACCTGTTTGTTGGTCACGACCCCGAAACGTACACCACCACGGAAATCTGCACCAGAAAAACAGACTCGGGACTGCAAGCTCCAAACTCTGTGATTCTATTCTCACAGTACATTTTAAACAAGCACACGAGACTGTAGCAATAATAACTGATAAATGCTCGATCTAAAAAAAAATTGGAAGAGAAAATGCCCATCATGAGTTCCCAGGGTCCAAAACAACAGAACAGCTCTAGAGATCCGCTACCTAGCAAATGCTTTTTCTTTGAAAAACTACTTAAACGATCACAGCTTTTTATTTTAAGCCAATGACTGTTGCAGCTTGAGATCTGATCAGAAAACGTTTGTGGATTGGACTCTGTGTTGTTTGTATTATGACTTCTTACCTCTTTTGAGGGCCTGCAGGGCAGAGGACAGATATGTAATGTACCCTGGTGGTTGAGGAGAGGAGTTAAACTGGAAGAAACCCACCACTCGAGGCTAGAAATACAGAAGACATATCCAATCAGAATATACCACATGGTAACATACATATCTTCATTCAAATAAGATCACGTAACACAATTCAAACATGCAGGTCTTTCCTTAAAGACAGCTAATATTACCAAAATGCACAACAAACATTGCGGGTGATTCTCTGGCAGCTCTCACTCAAACAGCCCGAAGACACAGCCTGCATACCTCGTGATAGGAGAGGAACTCTTTAAGTGTGGCTCTCGACGGGAGGTAAGTGAGCGGGGTGATGACTCTGAGGATGAAACTTTCCACATACGGAGCCACAAACGGGCCCTTGTAATTTATAGGCCCAAACCTGCGACACACAAAAACAGACAAACAACATAATGGGTCAATTTGTTGATCTCTCACTTAGGTTTGTATCAGTTATGATGATATACAAATCACTGGCAACAAAACTGTAATATAAATTCATCCCAAGACAAAATGCATCAGGATCAAAGTATATTAAAACATCTGCTAAATAATGTCCAGGGGGAAACTGTGAACACACCTATCAACTAAAATATCAATGGAAATATGAACAGAATAATCCAATTTAACTTAAACCATAGCTAGAGATTCACAACAATAATAAAAGATGAAGACGTTACATATTCTACTAACCGACGGCATCACACACCAAACCTGAGGACAGTCTTCTCTGTCTTACCTTCTGTAAAACAGATGGATGATGGGGTACTGATAGATGTGGTTCTGCCTCCTGCACTTCCCCTGACTCCACCAGCAGTTAATGGCAACAAACTGCACCTGTGTTTGTGTGAGAAAGACAGATAAACAGACTATTTCCGGACCACAGAACGCGTGTGCTGTGTTATTATTCTCAGTCGTGTGTGTGAAGATGGAAAAGGCCTTTTCTGTCTTATTTACATAACAAACGGGCTGCAAAAATGTGTTTCACAACGTTCTTCCCAACAGTTAAAAATATTCTACTTATTAACTTTGTACTGTCAATTTAAGGGTTGATTTCAGTTTATAATTCCAATGATTTCTTTAGCTCCCCTTTAACCGAGTAGCTCTTTTTCTGCCATTTGTCAATGTAATTATAAACGCACTTCAAATAACAACTCCACTATGATCCAAAGGCCATGAAAAATAAATCCAATCCACATGATCCACTAAATATAAGATGCTTCATGTGTCTCCTTCAGGTGACAAGAATATTTCTTTATTTTGTTGGTCTTCTGCTGACTTGGTGCTACTGTAGCTCCGCTCTCCCACACAGTGTCTGTTAAGGTTACTGTTTGGTATTTAAACAAAAGCATTCTTATGTCTTCAGGCGTCCTGTACCTGTTTAGCCAGCTTCTTAGCAACCTGCTGCACTTCCTGTCGGGCAGCCATGGAGTGAGCACACCACGGTGCATAGAAGAACACGAGAGATACCTCGGCCACGCTCCTGAGACGCTCCACCTAGAGAGAAAACATCATTGTTATTGACATGTTAGTCTGACTCATATTCCTACATTGTAACTCTGTCAGTTTTTTTTTAACCATGACCTTAAATTTATTACTACCAGGGAGTAACGCCTATAGCTGAAGGGCTTTCACAAACTTATGTTAACTGACTCAAAGACCTCCAAAAATTCAGTCATTTAGGAAAATACCAGAGAGAAGGTTAGTTACAGAGCAATCTGCACAGATGAATCTACATTACAATGCAATTTAGCAAGTTATTTTTTAGAGAAATGCAACTGACAGAGCACTCTGTATTCCCTGCACATTGCATCACGGTTGTAGCCAACCTACCATGCAGGTTTGAAAATATCTAATAATAGAAATTCCAGTAATACCATGACAAAATGTTTTGCAGCAGGTGTCCATGTCTTTGAATCTCACCTGGTCTAGCTGACCCAAGTAGAGGTCTACTATCGGGGCCTCGGTGGAGAAGAAGCGCACCGGAGGCTGAGCTGCTACCACCACGTCCTTAGCACGGCTACAGAAATTAGATGTTAAATGTATATCAGGAGTCAAAGATTCATTCAGTGAGGGGTATGTGGTACACTGTGATGTATCGGATTTTTCCACACCTTGCCTTGAATTATCAAGTAATTTGATGGTTTAGCCAAAACAAATATTCATGTTAGTTTTGCTAGTTTTTTTTTAATCCAGTGTACTGGATCAATATCAGGGGTGCACCAATTCAAATATTTTGAAATATGCCTGTACTGGCACAGATGCCAATGTTTCCTCTATCAGTTACATCTATTTAGTGTAGGTCGTACACTTCTGATTCAGTTCACCACAACAAACCCTGGCCTCATGTTCTCTTACACAAAAGTGATTGCAATGACTTGGCATAGACACATTTGTTTATATGGGAAGAAGAAAAACACTGGTATTGTGTCAGTACACATATCTGCAGATATCCTGAGCTGCGGTATTGAAATTAGTATCATGAGGAAAAAAAAAAGTTGTATTATTGCATCGCTGTATCTCAATATATACTGTGATAAAAGACGTTATACTCCCCAAGGAAGCTTTACGCTCTGTGGTCAGCACAAATACTGTTATAATTATACTTAAGTAATATTTTGAATGAAGGGGGTTTAGCTGTACATTGTATTAGAGTACTTTCATAATAATATTGCTACTTTTACTCAGTTAAAAGATAGCAATAGTTCTCCCAGTATGTGGAAGCAGGGTGTGCCTGAGGTCATTCATGTGCACTTTGTTTCAAGCTTCAGTTTTCCCAGGTGTAATCTCCACAACTACAGTAAATTCAATGGAAGACGTGTGTGTTGCTACTGGGGCTGCAGCTACTGATCATTTTCTTTCTCAATAAACTCCTAAAATCATAATTTCCCACATCTCAAAGTTACATCTCGAAATGTGTCAACTCTGTCAAACAGCGGTCTAAAACCCAAGCATATTCAGTTTAGTCTCGTGTATGATGTACAGTAATGCATTTCATACTTCATCAAGCAGGAAACAACAAAGTTTGCAAGTTTGGCATTTTTAGTTAAAAAATGACAAACGATTATAGTAATCTGAATCGTTACTGATTAACTTTCTGTCAATTGACTAGCCTTTGCACTTGTGGGCACTACAGAAGTCTTCGTTATGCTTTCATTTTCAGGATTATAAGGATAATACAGCAACACTCTTACTAAAAGGTACAGCTACTGTCTCCTAAGTCCTATAGTACACGTCAGTTTCTGCGAGGTGTAACGTTATAACTTAATACAGAGCCTGGTTATTATGATAAGAGGGTCATTTGTTTCTTGCAGTACTAAAAATTTTCTCTCAACAAACCAACCTATATGTTCAATGTTGAAGTTCAGTGGGTCTCACGTCCACACAAAACATGCTCAAATTAACAGAATGTGAACAGAAGCTGGACTTGTTTACCTGCATGTGAACTTGACGGCTAGTATGAACAGGACGCTGAGCACGATAGCCCCGCAGAGTAGAACCGGTCTTCGGGCCATCAGAAACAGCACCTGCCGAAGAGACTGCCGCACACGGCGCAGCATTACAGCTTGTCGTCGTCTCTCCGTCCCATTTATACGCCCCGGGTGCCGCTGCTCCACGCGTCCATTTGCCTAAGGGAAGGGTGGGGAGAGGAAGACTAGTTCAACACGAAACAGAGTTAGTCTGGATTGGCCATCAGTGACACTGGGGTGAGATGTATTCAAACACGGTCAAACCAACCTTTCTTCCCCACGTAGACTTTTCACTTCCGCAACAACGACCTCGGGGGGAGTCTGCAAATGCCAGAGCCGATTTAAAAACGTTTAAAACTATCATGGTAAGCTAGGTACAATATGATTGATAGTCACCTAAGCTTGCGTTAAACTGCAGTATATTTGGTCAAAGTAGTTCTGTTTTATTTTGTCCTCGGTAAGTGTGTTTGTGGTCCTTTTTACGTTTTGAGATGTATAGACTTTTTTGAGACGGTTCCTACATTGTTACGGTGCCAAAAGCAGCTGCCATGATGACTACGGAACACCAGAGGGCGGTCGTAGAATTTTCAATCAATCAAACTTTATTTAAAGCTGTATACAGAGGTATGGACACAAGTCAAAAAAGTAAGGCGACATGCTTTATAAATGAGCTTTTCTTCAAAAAAGCCCACGAATGCAGCGTTACATTACACACAATTTGGCCCGAAAGTTGCTTATATTAATGGCCTAAAACTGATCTATAAAAATATTTACCATTAGACTACTAACCTTTATAAACCCCTTTTAAATGGCGTCTTGTCATGAAGTGTAGCAATATTTGTTTATGGGATTGCCTACATACTGCAAACTAGTATTTGGCGTTTTAGTCTACAGTTATTCACTTATTTAACTCGTGTCTTATGTGGGCCTAGCTAAGCGTGAAAAAACAAAGCATCTTAAGTAGCACCAACCTTTTGGGTGGGTGTTATATAGGTTAGGTTGCCTAATAAGTTAGTTGTATGCAAAGTTTGGCCAAATTGCATATTCTGAAGTAGGCTACATAACCAACCCCTGCAGCGAACAGACATTACACTTTTCTTTAGCTGTTTATGCATTGTCACTTTTTATTTAATGATTTTTTTTTTAAGTAGAAACACTGCCTCTATTACTGTGTAAGAGCCAACTTGATGTAAACAGTCAGGGATACTCGCATCGCGTAGGAGCAGCGGCTGCGCTCATGAACGCGCACAGCGTCTCGCTACTGCCTTCAGAGTTCACGATGATTCAAGAGCTGATTCAGACCTACCCTCATAACGATAACACGTCTCAATTAGCCTCTTAAGTCATGTGAAAACCCATGCACACAATAGAATATTATTTAAAAAAAAAACTTTATTTTTTCTTACCATTAGAGAACACTGAAGAACAAAATCACAGTGTAAGACTTAAGTGCAAATGAACAATGTAAAAAATAAGCCATCTTTCATTAGTTGTACCCACCTATTACATGGAAATATTTACTGCCAACAAAATGTTTTTGAATTAAAACAAACAAAAAACTATGCAATCTTTGCCAGTAATAAATGCAAATAACATAGCAAATAAGAGTTTCTCCTTAAAATCAAATGTTAAAGATGTGTATGAGGATCTCAAAAAAATTTAAAAAATGAGTTTGCTTTCAGGTATAAGTGGCATGTATCTTGTTAACAAAACATCTGGATCTCCTGTAAAAAACACCAGTGTTGAACATGTGCTCAACAAGACTGTGTTTGCCCTTGAACGAACAGCAAGTCTGAAGTTGACTGCAGAACTCAACACCGACACATTTAACAATCATATTACCAAACTGCAGAATGAATTTCAGACAGCTCTGTAGCACTGAGATTCCAATCACAACCAGAACTGCACTGAAGACCCAAAGAATGCATTCAAATTTAGGTAGAACAAGGATTTATATAACATTACAATACTGCTTCTTCATGTTGATACTTCTAAAGCCAGAGGTGTTAATGTTTCAGGGGTGGCCAATTCCAGTCCTCGAGGGCCGCTGTCCTGCTTGTTTTCCAACTATCCCTGCCTGACCTGCTGCTGATTACCTGGCTCAGGTGTGTTCAGCCAGTCAGAAGCTGGAAGATACCAATTTAAGTGATTGTAGACATGTCAAAAAGACATTTTATAACACAACTCAAACAAAAGTGAATTTATCCATACTTTTGTTCTGTCTTCAGTAGCCAAGGATTAAAATGTATTAAACAAAAATGCTCAGCTTTCACTGGACTGCAGCCATCTCAGTGCTTTGTTCATAAGCTTTCATCTTATGAGGCCTTCACTGCCACCAGTGTTTGAACCCAACCTACCCTTGGCACATCTGCCCTCTGGACCCTTGAGGCAATGTGGCTTGTGAATGCAATGTGTACACAGAGTGAAAGCAGAGCAACAATCTGTCCGAGTCAATAACATCACATACTTCCCTGTTTCACATGATTTGCTTCTCCTACAATAGCTCAATGTCTCACTTGCTCCACATGGCAACCGCCCAGCAGAGAGACAAGACAGGAAGCAAGAAAACTTCCTTTCCAACAGCAAACAAAGCCAGTCTCATATGAGTTTACTGTTGAAAATAAACACTTCTCCTCCTCAGGAGCTGGATTTCTGGCTATTTACTTTATTTGCTGTTACCGTAACTGTACAGCATGAATGGGACACTGACTACATGCAATTTGCTACAGTGCCTGTGTTTCTCGGTGCATGAGCTGCTGCACCACCAGGTCTATATTAATGATGGGACTGAAGTAGAGGGCCCAGTAAAAGAGGCAGTTGCACACAAACTGCGGGACAAAAGGCCACAGGAGAGCGAAAGCAAATCCCTGAGATAACATCTTCCACAAGTGGTTCCACATCTTGTGTGGCAGAGCCCTAAAGAAAGTAGAAGACACATGTCAGTGTATTAGTGTATGAGGTCCATTAGACCAGTGCTGGATGTATTTTCAGAATCATGTAACATTTCCAGGAATAAGCTATTTTTCTCTGCTAAGTACATATTTTCTTTTTTCTTTTAAGAAAACTCCAAAACATGAAACGGACCACATCTTGGTTATGGTCATTATGTGTAAATATCAATATAATGCCACTTATTCCATTGCTGTCTATTCCAGTTGTGCTCACCTTCCAAACAGCAAATAAAAAAAGTGGAAAGCTAAAGCACAACATGGCACTAAATCCTTACAAGTTAAGGTTTAGGAAAGGTCAAGGAATGCTCCAGGCTACGAGTCATTTAAAAGGTATGTGTGTGTGTGTGTGTGTGTGTGTCTGTGTCACAAAGAAAAATAAATAAAACACCCAACTGCGTGTACCTGATTCTGGTTCTTCTCCAGAGACTCCACAGAGCACAGCCTTCCAGCACAGACAGCAGCATGGCATTAACAATAATGAAGCGAGACGTCCAGTAGTGGACGGCCAACCAATCCCAAGCAAACTCTGCAATCAGCTGGTATGGAAGCAGGAGGTACTTCACAAGAAACTCTGTCCACTGTTGCCAGCTTGGCTCCAACTAACAGACACACAATGATAGAAGAGTGATTTTAAGCCATTAAAACAAGTATTGATGTAAGACAGTAGAAACCACATTATTCTCTCTTACAAAATAATCTGGAACCTCAGCAGGCATATTTACATGGAGCTTAACTGGAGACTGTCTGGTTGTAAGTTAAGACAACATTAGTTGGAATATACAAGTCAGAGTAAGGTCATTATCATACTCAGTCTTTAAAAATTGGCCTCTAATTTCTTTCTCCTGTTTTATAGTGTATGTATCTCACTAGCCCTGGCGAGGATGGCCTGGGATGCAGCACCTCCACTGGCCTAAAATCATAACTTTGGGGTTAAACCAGGTCAAATAAATGAATCCCCTCAAGTAAATCAGATGTTGTCTGCATCAAAATTGTAAAAGGTACACAGTGAATAGAAGTCTGGTACCATTTCTTAAATACTGACTGAGTGTGACAATAACATAACTTTACTACAGCCATGCTCACAACACTGCTAACCCAATTTTTAATCAATAATCACAGCATCATGTGCATGTGAATGAACCTACTGTTAAATTTTAACCCATTACATTGGATGCAAGGACATTATGTCAGCTGTAAATTTGTTTTTGTGTCACCTGTGTGTTGAGGAAGCTGCTCTCTACTGACTGGTCCATGTGTGTGATGGCCGGGCAGCAGGTGTGCAGGAAGGGCAGGAACGTTTCAGAGTAGTCAAATAAATACAAGTACAAGATTGTGAGACGAGGGGAGCGCTTCAGTGCATACAGCAAGAACAGAGACTTCCCTGCATTAGCCACCTGACAGAAAGTGAAACACAAAGAATACAGAGAGAGAGGTCAGTGATTTGATTGTACATGTAAGAAGAATGACAAACCCAACAGAACAGAGATTAATAAGGCTGTAAATGGAGGGGCTGTGGTACAACAATAAAAGCAAAGGTAACATTCTAAACTAACAGATTAAGATTATCTCATATATGCTATTACAGTGGAGGTGGCAGCAAAACAGACTGAATCACACAAACCCATCTAAAGATGCACAGATCTACTGAAGACCAGCATGTAAAACTGCTGAGTGGCATGTAGCTGGAAAGGGTTACAGAGTCATCTCAAAGACCTTGGATATTCATCAGTCCACAGTTGGAGATAACGTCTATAAATGAAGACGATTCGATGCTGTGGCTACATAAAAGTGGACGCCCAGCCAAGATCACTCCAAAGGCACAACGCAGAATGTTCAATGAGGTGAAAAAAGAACCCTAGAGTAACAGCTAAAGACCTGAGGGATTCGCTGGAGCTGGTGAACATCTCTGTTAATAAGTCAACCATATGCAAAATATTGAACAGACACAGTATCCATGGCAGGACACCATAGAGGAAGCCATTGCGCTCCAAAAACAACACTGCAGCAGGCCCGAGGTTTGCCAAAGACCACCTTGACACTCCATATCACTACTGGGAAAATGTGCTGTGGACAGATGAAACAAAGGTAGAACTGTTTGGGAAGAAGACTCAGCACTACATATGGCGTAAAAAGAGAACTGTGTACCAACATGAAAACATCATCCAAACAGTGAAGCATTGTGATTTGAATGAATTCCCACATTTATCAACATATCCTGCAGGATAATGTCAGGGTGGCTGTCGGCAAGTTGAAGCTCAGAACAAGCTGGGCGATGCACCAGGACAATGACCCTAAACATCGAAGTACATCTACAAAATCTATCTTTTGGGGTGGCCCAGTGAGAGCCCAGACCTCAGCACAACAGAGATGATGTGGAATGACCTCAAGACGTTCACACCAGACGTCTAAGAATATGGCTGAGCTGAAGCAGTTCTGAGGAAGAATGGTCCAACATTCCTCCTGAACATTGTGTAGGTCTAATCCACAGCTATAGGAAGCACTTGGTTGAGGTTACTGCTGCCACAGGTGGGTCAATCAGTTATTAAACCAGTGTTGCCATTACTTTTTCCACCATGACTTTGTAGGTTTAATGGGTGTGTTCAATAAAGACATGAAAGATCATGACTGTTTGTGATTTATCATCTTAAAAATATTGTGTTGGTTGATATTTGTGACTTTGGTGAAGATCAGATCACATTTCATGACCAATTTATGCAGAAAACTGTAAACAATGTCATTACTTTTTCTTGCGACTGTATTCCTGCAAACTGAAGTATTTCATGGAGCAGTCAGAGAACTTACCTTGTACTCCCAGAGGTTCTGTGGAGGTTTGACCCCAAGGGTTTTAACTCTGTCCAGTTCAGCCAGAACAGCCCGTCTGTGAGCCTGATTTTCTATGCTGTAAGGAGGCTGTAACAACTCTTCATCTCCCAACATCAACAGTAACCTGAAGCAAAGAAACCAATAGCACATCACATGACCATAATGACCAAGATGGCCTCACAACAGGAGCTTCTGGGTTTTCTGTATAATGTTCATTCACAAGTTTGATACATAATTAGATACGGTCATGATTTTCACTTTCAGGGCGGGGTGCCTGTATTTCAATATAAGAACAAGGAGAGCCAAAACAAAAATGACACTAATTATTCTATGTAATATTCATTATTTACCTCCCATTGACATTCTCGTGTTTGAAGGGTTCTCTGTACAGCTGGGCCCAGGGGCCCAAGTGGTCCAGCCAGGACACGACTTCCTCCGGCGTCCAGTGAGACACGGGTTTACTGATCAGCAGGTCATGCTGCTCCGCCGTCCCAGTACTCCAGTGATACACCAGCACCATCACCTGGAAACACACGGACATTAACAGACAAGGGACAGTGAATCCTAGTTTAGCCAGCTTATACCACACTGCAGTGTTTTACATATGCAGATACAAAGAAATTATTTGAGCCACAAAGCTACTGATAGTGACGAGTAGGGGATTAGCATGGTGGCTAGAATTCCTCATAGGCTAAACTGGTGCCAACTGGTAATACAGTGGTGGTTTCACATACTGTACATCCAGGTTTCTGTATCTTGCAGAAATCATCCATCACCACAAGAGGTCACTCACTGTCTGTGTTTAACTTAAGTTGCTCATATGTTTGAACAGAAGATGTAAATTTTGATTGTTTCCACCACCCTTCAACCCGTTTCCATCACAGTTACTGCACATAATGTGTCCTCTTCACTGACCTGAGTTTGATTACACCTCAATTGTTTAAGCCATTTGACTAACAAGAACAAGATCACTGCTGAACAAAGATTAAAAAAAAGAATATAATCCTAAAAATATATTTCTAAATAAACAAACTGTCATGCATGGAAGATATGCATGTGTCCATTTAGCAGCATGATAGCTTGAGTTAAAAAACAGAAACAGTAACTACCTGTTTCACACAGGAAGTGTAAATTTGTGATGTACCTTTGCACAGAAATAACTAAAATGCTCATTCTAAACAAATATGTGCGTTACAGTACTATATAGAAAAAACCATGCTGAGAGACTGTATAATGTGCTATTCTTGGGTTTAGTCACCTATAAGAGTAGCTCAGTTTAGAAAGGCTGCAAAGAGGGAAGCTAAACATCTTCAGAGTTTTTGAAACCAAAGTGCATGATGTGTGTAAACATGGAGAAAAGCACGATCCAAACAAGCAAGGGTAAGCTGGAAAACACATTAACCAACCTTGAAATGTAAATACTGAGTAAACTGAAGTTCAATGTCTACTTAAAACGATACAGCTTTGCAGGAAATGTTATTTTCCGGTGCAATTCATGTGAGCTCAGGAAAACACAAAGGTAAAAGCATCCAAAACAAACTGATGACCATGCACATAGGCCCAGGCCCCTTTCAGTTTTCATAAAATGCCCTGGTTCAATAACATCCATCCTTGAACTGGGGTCAAAAAAAGGACCACGCTGTAATCTGTGCTCCCAACAGCAAAGTGCAAATTTACACGGCAAGACACATAGTTATGTTGCTCCCATGTGCCACATGGACAAAACAGGCATGGTCTATCTGCATAAAATGAACATCCACTACTGTGGTAACCTTTAAATATCACACACTACAGTTGTTAAAATCCCCTCAGTAATACAGAAAACAATCTAAAGTAGCAACTGAAGGTCAAATTATTTTAATGCTGGATCAACGTATACTGGTTCAGGGTTTACAACAATTTCCCCCAGAAAGGGACAGCACCGCCATTCGTGTGTAGGTGTGTGTGTGTGTGAACTGGCACTGCAGATAGTTCTGTACTGGAGACAACTTCCTTGTGTGTGTATAACATACTTGGCCAATAAAAGTGATTAGCGTTACTTTATATATGTTATCATTTGGATTATTCTGTGACTCATCAGCACATTAGTCTATCGCTCTATTAAAACACACAACTTAGTTAAACTTCTGACTTGATAAATCTCAAACATTACTGTGGCCATGGCAAGACAGATGGGCTCTCACTGGCCCCTAATAGAGTGGTCAGAAAAGTACTGTAGCTAGCAATTTTACTGCATAAGATAATGGTAAATGACTAGGTGAGTTCTTTTTCACTGCCGTTGTATACTTACAGCCACAACTGTGAGTGCAGTTAGGACTCCAGAAAAGAAGAAGCCTGCTCCTTTGTGCTGGTTTGTCCTGGCTCTACCCAAGTTGTCACCATATCTAAAAACATGTGGACACTTGATGAAAGCAGGCCCCTTCACTTCAGAACTCAAAGTGATCAAATACAAGTGAGCACAAAGCAGACACCAGGAAAGTTCATGGTGATAACACTGACATCGTCAAATGGAAGCTCTGTTTCGTTGTGCTTACAGACTGATAGAAAAACACATTTGTGAATAAAAGTTGTAGAAAGCCTTGTTTAGCTTCAGAGAGAGCTGTGCAGAATTTGGCACAGTATTCCAAAGCTTTAAAACAACTTGTAACATTTACAATATTGTATTACCTCTGGAAAGCCAACAAGCTCCGGGAGACTCTGGGGTTAGCCTGGATCTCTGCTCTCCTCCGTTGAACCACCTCACTAAACAGTTTGTCAGTTGTATCCCTGAGAATAAGAGCAATATGTAAACACATGGAATTAGAAGATGGGAGTGAAACGTACAATGAAACAACAAGGAAGGACTGAAGGCACCGTTATGTTCACTAGCTGACCTAGCTCATGCTGAGTAGTGCTAACTTGTGTCACATGAGGTAATGGAAGTGAAACTGGTCCTTCTAGTTTGTTTGACCTGGCTGTGTTTGTTAACCTTTCTGCTACGTGTGAAACATTTCAATGACATTCTTTAACAAGCCTTGGGAAAACTACTCGACCAAGTGAAAATACCCTAACCAAGTCTTTCACTTTCAGACTGTGTGCACTATGCAGACTCTGTGGTGATAAACTGATTTGAGTACAGTACAGTATTAGAGAAAATCAATGCAAAGACAAACAAATGTTTATCAATAAAACTACAGCAGGACATGGACTCGTAATTTCTAAGTGCATAGAGTACACGCATAGGTTTTCTTCTGCAGGTTCACATGTTTTCAAAACTAGATGGTCTGTAAGTGTGACGCTGAAACGAAAGGGGGCAGCATGGTGGTGCAGTGGTTAGCGCCGTTGCCTCACAGCGAGAAGGTTCCGGGTTCGGGCCCCACCCAGGACCTTTCTGTGTGGAGTTTGCATGTTCTCCCAGTGCTTGGCGTGGGTTCTCTCCGGGTACTCCAGCTTCCTCCCAAAGACATGCAGCTTAGGTTGATTGGTGTCTCTAAATTGCCCATAGGAGTGCGTGTGTGTGGTTGTTCATCTATGTGTTAGCCCTGCGATGGATTGGCGACCTGTCTGGGGTGTACCCCGCCTTCGCCCGATTGCCGGCCTCCCCCGTGACCCCGTTCAGGGACTAAGCGGTAGAAAATGAATGAAATGAAAGGAAAAGTTTGGTACTGGTATAATATGGAGTACAAGTTGCATTGTCACGATCTGTGGCAACTTCAGCAGTGTCTGCCTGTGGCATAATATGCAGCACAAGTTGTATTGTCACGATCCATGGCAACTTCAGCAGTGTCTGCCTGTGGGGGCAACTCGGTTAGATGTGGAAGAGTCACAGAAATGCCTGCACAGTACAAACAAGTCATAAATCAGAGGATGCTGGTTTGTTTATTTTTAATATAAACGATCATATTCTAAATGTGATCAAAATGTGAACAATCCTCAAAATTGTAATGCTAGTGTGCCTGTAAATACTGAAAATCCCTGTCACACACACATTTTTTGTCAGTACAAGTTGTCTTAGGGATGCAACAGTAGATCTCTGTTCTGTGCTGTATGTCAGAAAAACGAAATGAGTACTGTGGGAAGAAAAATCAAACATTCATTCACTTATATGGTGTGGCTGTGAAAAGCATACCTCAGCAGTATGTTGATTTTAGGAAAGCCTTCCCACTTCTCCCGGCACTCTGGACATTCGTTCTTGTGTGACGACTCCCACCACAGAGCCAGACAGTGGCGGCAGAAGCTATGGCCGCAGGTCAAAGTGGTGGGGTTCACCAAGATGTCGTAGCAACAGTGACAAGAAAATTCGTGTTCTGATATATTAGTGGTGGTGGAGGGCTGTGACTGAGGAGATTCAGATAAATTAGGGGGGTCATCCATCAATGCTCCCGGACAGTCATCCAATAAATCCCGCTCTATCTGGTGCAGCATATCAAAGTCTGAAAAAGAGGAGGAAAAAAGGCTAAAAAAGAAAGACCAAAATGGCATCAGTGACTTTTTACATTAATGTACCTGTACTTTTATCAGAGTACAGGGTTTTGCACCACTGCAAATTGGTGGCTTCATCTTGATGTGGATGAATTGTACCCGTGAACAGATTTTAGGGTTGGGGCAGATGAATAAATTGCATCAGATTATATTAATTTTAAATTCGATTAAAGTTATAGCATTAGACAATTGCACAAGCACATACCGAACAGTAAACAATAACCTGAGCAGCACAAAACCATGAAACACAAAGAAAGCAGTTGCCTAAGTGACGCTAGTTTGGACACTGACATGCTACATGTTATACTCTGACAGCAGTTAACGTTTACTTATCACATCCTGATCCGGACGTTAGCTAGCTATCGTTATAACTGGCTAGCTAGCTAGTCGTTAGCTACCAGCTAGGTTAGAAAAAACATGTCCTGCTCTTGTGTAAAGCAGAAACAAAGTACATTTTGCAGATATTCCCAATACAAAATTGTAGTTAACAATTAGCGTTAAGGTTGACATGCTACTTAGCCAATAGCTAACAAGTGCTGAGATACCCTGGCTAAGTTGTACTAGATGTACTAGGTATAAGCAAATTGATATTGGATTAGCATTTGTTGGATATGTGTAAAATTATGTGT